TTAATATTTTAGGATTGATGAATTGATTATTCAACTTTTAAGTGACAGTATGATTTAAGACAATGATTTTTAGGGGCCCTTAATTTTGGTCCTTTTTTATGTCTTATATAAAGTGATATACAGGTCCACACTGTACTGGTGCACTTTACTGGAAGGGAAGATCACAGGTAACTGTGTGACATTATAAAACTAAAATACTGTATGTTACTTATAGGTTCAGAACTAAAAGCAATTAGATAATTTAATTTATAGTGTTATTTTGTTTTGCAACTGTTTGTAAAATTTTATGGTTTAACTCCATCAAATTATTTTCATACCTGTGAACTAAGGGTTTTGAATGCACCTGTACATTTTTTTTTTTTATAAAATTATGTAAATTGAAACAAGACGCTGTCTCGTGTGTTAAGAATGACAGAGTTTTTAAACTCATTATTTACCAAATATTATGTTAAAAGGTTGATGGATGACAACACAGCAACAAAGTCATCGCAGGAGGCAAGATCGCTATAGCGATGGATGTTTATTGTCATTCTTATTATATAATACATAAACACTTCCCTCAAATTCCTGGTGTGCCCCTTCACCAATGATACCTTCAATCCTATTAAATTAAGCATAAAATGAGTATAAAAAAATGCTTTTGCTTATATGAAATAACTTTTTTTTTAAACATTGACTTGTTCTCATTACATGGCCTGTCCCATTTCCTTTAAAAATGATTTTGCTGGTTTTACTTTAGGCTATTTATTTGATTTCAAAACCATCTATGGCTAAATTGTTCAGATTTTTTGCATCCTTCTCAGGATATATGAATTCATACAAGTGCTAGGTTGAAAGGTTCTATCCATCTGTTTTATATACATGAAAACAACCTTAGTTTTAATTGTATTCATGCCGCCTCCGTGGTCGAGGGGTTAGAGTCGATGACTTCTAATCCAGTTACCTTTCTGCATGGGTTCGATACCCGGGAGATGCTTTGGTAGTTTAGCGCGGAGGAAGGTATAGTCTAGTACTGGTGTAACTCTCTAGGAACGATGGTTAGGAAACTACCCGACTATATGACTGAAATACTGTTGGGAAAAGGCGTAAAATGAAACAAACAAAAAACAAAAATTGTATTCATTTTGTAAATGTAATAAATGCTGCTGAAGAAGATGGAAAGACCCAAAGCTGCAGCAAACTAAAATAAGTGTTCTTAGTTATAAAGTAAGAGATTTTAAATATTAAACTTATTCCCAAAATAGTGCACCTTCTTGACATCCTGGTTTTCAATGCCAATTGCAAGAGTTTGGTGCAAATCTTATGGTATATTATATAATTTACCTAAATGTAGTCAAGATAATTCTGCACTAAAGCGCAAATTGATTGACTCTTCAGAAAGCGCACACGCACCTCAGATGCAATGCAGACGCAATTAACAAGATGCAAAGATAAACACTGAAAACCTCGTTAAAACATTTTAATTTTTTTTGCTTCGAAAAACAGTTTTTCCAGGCTCGGTTTCAATCTGAAGTGATCGTAATGATTTCCGAGTCAACTTGAAATTATTGTTGCGTACATCTGTGGTGTTGATATGTTTTGTTATTGCTTTACAATAATTATGATATTTTGATTACATCTTTTGGATAAATGAAGTTGAGGCCCTAATTATAAAACTTTAAAAATTCTTCTTCTTTTATGCAGAAAAAAATTTATAATTTGTTTAAACAAAACTTTTCGACAATTTGATTGTTCAGCTCCAGGCTATTCCTCTTAAAAATTATATTATTCCTCTTATAAAATTATAATAACTTACAGTAAGGAAAAAAATATACAACAAAAACAGAAATGATTTAAGACTATTAATACATATACAGTAGTGCATGGAGGTCTTTAGAGGTAAATTTGCGGAAGTTTGTTCATTTTCTTCTTTCATATGTTTCTTGTATTCAAACCTTAATTAAATAAATTTGTGTAACGCATCTAATTTTATCTAACAAAGAATTAACTAATATTTACAAAATGTAATGGAAATCATCAGCTCTTAATAGCCTATCAAATTGCAAATACATGTTTTTAAAATTGTATGAAATAGTTGAGTTGCTACATTATATAAGAATTTATACAGTTTAATTGAGCAAATAATGAGGTTTGATAACCAAGATAGCATACCATTAAAAATTAACGCTGAACGAGACATTTTTATTGAGTCTTTATCGATTAATGGTACGAAAACTTGAGAGTCCTGTAATGAAAAACATAAACTTCTTCTCCATCATAAAGTAACCAATTTGCTGAGTGTACAATTGCTGGCCCCTGATTTCTCAGATCAATTTCAAAAGTTTCATTGAATATTTTAGATTGTAAATTGAGTTGGTAATGACATGTTCTGTTACAACATGTTACAATGTGATGAATACAACAGTTTCACTATTGTCGTTGAATATCATACTGTATAATATGTTAAAAGAAGCCTTTAAATGTTTGAAAATTGTGATGTTATTCAATTTGAGGCTAAAGTACTTAAATTTACCAGGGGTAAATATATTTAGAATCATCTGGAATCTGCACCAAAGATCAAGTTGTAATTTTTTTTTCTCTAAATAACAATAAACAGTCTTTGAATCTTAAAACATGCACTTTAATGCAATTATTCTTAAAACATGCACTTTAATGCAATGGATCTTTAAACATGCACTTTAATGCAATATCCTAATTGGCTCTTTCAATAACTTTAATCTTCATTTGATGTACAGCTACCAGATTGTAATCTTGATTGTGATGCAGTGTGTCAATTTCACAACAACAAAAAAACTGTATTTAATTAGATTATCCCTCTTTTAAAGGAAGCCCATTATTATTGTCACTCAGGGAGTGTAAAGTTACTAATTTAACAGTAAAAAGTGTGATTCAGCATCAATGTCAAATATGTTACATAGTTGACAAAAAAACAGGGAATGACTAATATCACCAATCTGTTTATGTCTGTCAGTGACCAATATTTCTTATTTGTAATCAATACATGTGTGACAAGTCTCAGACACTTAATTTCCTTGATTGGATAGAATATAAGAGCCGCTTCACGACAAAACCAACATAATGGGTTTGCGACCAGCATGGATCGAGACCAGCCTGCGCATCCGCAGTTGAAACTGATAGCGAACAGCATGGATCCTGATCAGACTGCGTGGATGCGCAGGCTGGTCTCCATCCATGCTGGTCGCAAACCCATTATGTTGGTTTTGTCGTGACCCAGCTCATAATGTTCATTAGTTATTTTGTTCAAATAGAAAATAGCCCGAGTAGGATACTGAGACCTGATCTGTAACCTTTATTTTATTGCCTAGACTGCAGAAGTAATTGGGTCTGCTTTCTTTCATGGTTTTATATACTGGACTTGAGTGGACAAGAACTCATTAAAAACCTGAAAATGAAAGCATCATAATCAGCTTGATGGAGAAGTATATCTCCTATATACCAGCAGGTTTTGTTTTAATAGGACATTATTCCTAGTTTTGTGTGTTTGTGTTGGATTTAAAGCCCTTATTTTCAAGAGAATTTTAGTACAGAAACCAGTGAGCATTTAAGCCTATAAGCTCTTTATGGTTTAAACTTTATACTGTACTTCTCTTGATGAAAGTACACTAACATCTGTATTGGAACAAATCCTTGATTATGTACACCCAAATTTTGATACCAAAATTATCAAACAAAACAACACATAATTACAAAGAACATGTTAACTTGTCTGGCAATTTGCGATATAAGGTTGCTTTACAGATTAAGGGGATATAAGGTTGCTGAGGAAGAAAAAAAGACTGAATAGTTAACAATTGAAGATTTTGGAGGAACACAAAAAGCAACATTCATTTCAGAGCTTTGATACTCATTTATCAGACAGGGAACAAATTTGTATGGTACTTGTATTATCTAAATTGAAGTTTCTTATCAAATTTTTCATAGTCTACAATCAGTTGCATGCTGGGTAGTATATCTGCAGTTCCTTACATAGTTTTTCAGGCAGCTGTTACAATGTGCAGACAAGTTTAAATTATCCTCAATGTTCTCCAACATGAAAGCATGTCTCTAGCTGGGTCTAACAACTGCTTTTTTATGAGATTGAGCAATATGAAAATCTTTTATGTGCATACATGAAGTTTGATCAAAATATTTGATGAGGGTATGAGCATAATATAAAATGCTTAAATGCAGTAGGAAAATGCCACCATACTGTTGCTTTAAGCATAATAATTTGTGCTCAGATGTGATGAAAGCTTTAAAACTTATTTGAAACACTTTCAAGACTTGTTTTCCTTTAGTTCCCTAAAATTAACATTCAATTCTTCCAAATTCAAAGCAAGGCAAACTTGTTGGTTATTTAAACTTAACAGGGAATGGACTTTCTTTGACTCAAAACTTTTATTTTCATTTTTCTACAGGTTATTGATTCTGAAATGTATCAAAGGGTTCTTTTCTGTGCAAGTTTGTTATTTCATCTTCCCTAATGATTTATTCAGTATTATAATAGCAACAAGATCCATTTTCATGTAAAACAAGGTTTTATTTGTTGCACTCTTTGATCAGTTAACAAATCGACCAAGTACATTGTATTCGGCTATAGTTCAGAAAATTGTATTGTTGTATCACTTTCCCATTATGAATAAGTGAAGAATGTGTCCCTGTTTTTTTAAGACACTCACAAAAAGAATTATCAAAATGGAAGTGTTCTTGAAGTACAAAGTTGTTTTAGTTGTCTAAGATGTGCCTACAGCTTAAAGATTAAAATAAAATATCTCTAGGCAGGAAGATCTTCTGTCAACATCTGTATTTTCTTGTGTATCTGGCCAAAGATGTTGAATTTCTGAAGGTTCAGTTGCGTTATTTAGTGATTCTTATTTAAAAATATCATTGACTTTGTGCAACATTTTTATATTTGTTGTTTTGAACAAGTTACATATTTTTAGTTTCAGTTCATAGACAGAAATGATTATTTTTATAAATAGATTTCTTCTTTTTTGCAGATCAAGCAAAATGGCTGTCACAACGAAAACAGCATGGTTGACCTTCATCGCCTTAGTGATAACCTCAAGGTCAAATGGAATGAAGGTCGTAAACACATACAGGGATGTCTATGGTGACAGTCTTCTAAATGTAGACATGGACAATAAATCTGGAACAGTCCTAATCAGCAGTGTTAATAGTATCACAAAACTCAATGAAAATCTAGATTTAAAAGATATAGTTCAGATTGGAAAAAATAGTTCCTATTTAAGTAATATTGTGATAGATTCAAAATCAGACTCAGTGATTCTGTGTTCAGGAAAAAGTGGAAAGTGTGAAGTACGATCTTTAAAATATTTTGAAAAAGTTCTGTCTGCAAATCCAAATGATCTTGTGCCAAAGAACGGTGATTCTAGAAGTGTATTGTTGCTCACAACCACATATAGGAGATTATTTATTGCAAACAGTTTTCAGGCAAATAAACCTGAGCAGCAAAAAGTAGTTCCTGTTTTAAGCAGTAGGACTCCTAATAATCTGCATCTTGCACATACTGATAGGAAAGGTTCATCAGCAAAATATTTCAGTAGTGCTAATTTACCATCAGACTACTTCGTGACATATTTATACTCATTTTCTGAAAGGAAATATGCTTATTTCATTTCACGCCAGACAAATTCAAAGAATAGTGCTGTTACTAGTAAAATTTCTCGCCTCTGTTTAGATGATGACTATTTCAGATCCTATGTAGAAATCCAGTTAGACTGTGTTGCAGATTCAAAAACTCAGTATTCTGTAGCACAGTCTGCTCACTATGATCCGAGCACCCAGAAGCTTACTATAGCATTTAGTAAAGCAACCAGTCCAGTGTCGTCTGCTGTCTGTTCGTTTGACCTACGTGATGTGAACAAGATGATGGACAACACGGTGAGAGAATGTTTCCAAGGCAAAGGTTCCTATGGTCCAATACATTTTCACAATGCAAGTTCGTGTAAATCTACAGTAAGTATTAATTTTGCTTGTGACATTGAATAAATTGCATAACAAAGTACTTGATGATCTAGGCACAATGCTTTTTTTTCAAAGCTACTACATCAAAACTATATTTTGGCTGGTATTTTGCAGCAATGTTGTATATTTGACAGTGAAAAATAAAATGTAACTCTCATTCAGTACAAAGAAATAACGGAAACAAATTCAAACAATATTGATAATGTCAGCGGCAATGTCAGGGGCCAAGTGGTTGCTGATAGGAAATCATTAACATTTAACACCACAATAAGTGTCTCGGGGCAGTTTCTACCAAAATTCCAATAAAATCTGTTATTTATGAAAAATATTTATCAGTTGGTACTTGTAATTTTTTTTGCATTATAGCCCTCTTGTTAAGGGAGAGGAATGAAAAATTGAAATATTTTGTTTTGGTGTTTATTTTGAAGGCTTTTTCTCAGTCCATTTGAGTATAAAATTTGATACTATAGTTCATAAAATACATAAAAGTCAATAAGCTAATTGTTGCCAAATTACTGTATTAATTTATGATTGGAGCTTGGGATAGGAAGTAAAATATAAAGTTTTTGCATATATAAAGGTTATTGAATATATTTGCACTATTTGACTGCCTTTAAATGTTTTCTTTTCAAGTGCTTGGTTCACCAGAATGTATTCCGCTGATCCGATTTTATTCTTTTCCAAGTTCTATGTGAACCTATTACACTAAAATTAAATCCCGCAGATTCATCTCGATTTCTTATGTGCACTTAAATGATCCAAATGCTCCTTTCATTTTTTGTGCACACAAGTAATTTAATAGATACTTTGTTTAGTTTGTTTTATTCTGGATTTTTTTTCCCCCTGCATACTAGAGTGTGGTACATGATAGTTGTTTTTTTGTCGTGATTGTATTTTGTATGTAGAAGATGGAAAGCAATTAACAATGAAGAGCAACATGTCTGCTATTTTGGTGCATAACGATTCATGAAATGCATTATTCTTAATCGGAAGATCTTGAATAATTTGGATGGGAGACATTTCGAAACTGTCTGAAACATTTTTTACTTATTTATATGATATTTATAAAGTAAATTAAAGAAAATTTTCATTTGTATGTTTAGTGGGCAATATATTACTAACAATTGATTTCCCCCACCCCCACCCCTCTGATAAATGATGCAAGTGTCGGTGCCATGTTAAACCCAACAAAAGTGTTGTCACAGTGATGCCTGGTTCATATTTAGCCATCAATACATTCATTACATCAAGAAGAAAATTTTTGATTTTATCAATTCTCCTAAACTTTAAAGTTTTCATAATGATTTGATTTATACAAAATTTATTTAAAGTAAGTCTATTGCAGTCATCTGTCGAAAGAAAGTCGTATTTTAGAGTAATAAATGAAAAGCCTGTGATTAATCATTTATTTTATTCAAGAGAAAAAATTAGAAACAATTTTCTTTTTCTGTTATTTCTTTTGCCTTAATAGCTCTACAATTGCAACATTGCCATGTCAAATGTCTTTTCTATTCAACTTGTCACATTAAGTTGTATCAAATGATAAGATGTTTTTGGTTAGGGGGAAACTTAAGCAGTTTGAAATCTTAAAAAAACAAGGCAAGGGATGTATATGATTATTTGTTAAGACAGCTAAAATGCTACTTTGAAAATCTAAATTTAAGATCTGACAGTTTGAAGTTAAATGTAAAACATTACATAATATCAAGTTCTTTTGTTGATAAGTTTAGCAGAAATTACATGCTTATCATTCACACAATTATGTGGTCATGAATTTACTCAATGTTTTAATATTCATTACTTTAAGACACTTATAAGATGATATGCCTTCTGATTGATCAAAGGGCAAATGTAATTGGAATTTCATGGAAATACTAAAGAATATATCAGTTTATCAAAATTTGAAATACAAAGATATTCCAGAAAAAGTTCTTTAAAACCACTTTTGCAATACTGTTCGTTTTAATTTTGTTATTATGATACTGAGATCATGGTATTGCAGGCTAAAATGATTTTAAAGCATATAAGTATATATAATAATGGATGCTGCCATATTAATGGATTTAGGTGATATAAACCGGGTATTATAACCACATGAGTGATATAGGTACCCCAGTACACTTTATACTGCAAGCATTTTGCACCTAAACCTTATTCTTGTACTCAATTTTTTTTTTCTGTACTCAGAATCAGAAAATATCTACTTATGTTAATAGGAGTGTTATTATTGTTAATAAAACATGGTTTTAAATTGTTTAATAATTATGTATAATTGTCAATTTTCCCCTAAAGAATGAAATTGCATTTTGTGCCCCCTTTTTTTCACCCAAAGAAAGGCTTGGACCACATCTTGCAGTAAAAACTGTTGTAAAAAAAAAAAAAAAACCCTGTATCTGACACAAATTTGGAATTTATTATTTTTTTGGGGGAGGATATTTTCATGTGGTCATCGGAAGGTGGAGCTTGAGGTCAGTAAGGTCAAGATCATTGAGACTGAAATACAGATTGTATTTTTCCTCATAAAGCTGTCATTTATTGCCTGATATTTTAAGATGATTTGTTGAAAAGTATCCTAGCACTTTAAGCCTTTTCCTTCAATGGGGCTCTGATGGGGCTTGTCAAGGTCGTTGCGTATAATATGAAAAAGGTCAGTCTTTACATCTATTGAATGTATTCCCATTACTCTAGCATAGATTTCAACTGAATCACAGATATTCCCCTATCGTCATTAATTTATCCAGGTTCTTGTATTACTTTCAAGCAACTGGCATATCTTGTCGTATTCTCTGACAATGGTTCATATTATTTCTATTTACTGATAATTGGGTAATAATTATTTTTCTACCTATTTGATAAAAAAATTTTGTTTGTGAAAATTCACCTTCGATTGTCACTAGTCAGCTTCTGAGGAACTCATTTATACAAGATACCTTTTATCTGTCCTTTGTTTCAGGTTTGTATGTTTGAATATTGTAAATTAATGATAATATAAGTAACGGTACATCTACAAAAGCTATAAAAACGAACTTCATCATACCGGTACGTAACTTACACAAAGCCAATATAGACATCATTAATTCATACTAAAAAAAGTGCTGAGGAAAGGGAAGAGTAAAGAGGTTTATTTTATCAGACCCTGCAACAGATTACATGATGTTTTTTGTATTTTATGATTTCCCCAGCTGGCTAACAGTAGTCCCTGTCAGTCAGATCACACTGACTGGGAATATGTAGAAATTATGAGACTTGGTACTGATCAAATAGAAATTATATGGCTGGGTACCATTCTGAACTCCCTTTGGAGCCGGGAGACAGCTGTGTACGCGCATGTGCTATTATAATGAGTTTTACAGTGAATTAGTCAATTTTGTATTTTTGCAGGGGAGGGGAGGAAAAATGCATACTCGGAATGATAAGTTATTATGTTTTTGAAGTATCCTGTCAATCAGAGACTTTTGTTCTAATATTTTACAATGTTTGAAAGATTATTCCCTTTTACTAACTTGCTGAAACGAAAGTGATTAGCCCTTTGCCACCAGTACTGGACAAGGTCAGGCTAGCCTGCATTTTCTTGCAGTTTGACCAGTCTCTTTACTGTTGGTAACTCATCAATATTTGGTATTTTGATATTCAAATCCATTTAACTTTGAATGGACTGTTCCAAATTCAAATCTAGGCAAACACAAATATAGCAGGTTAAGGTCAGGCATAAAAAAATATTTTCAGATATACTTATCCTGAAGGACAGGTAGCGTCTAAATCCAATGTGCAGGCGACAATATTTTTCTACTCGTCCTGCATCAAGTTCTCTTAAATTCTATTTGTAATTACAAGTGGATGTTTGAATTTTTCAATCTCTGAAGGTTCCACCATTTCTGAAAGGTATGACTTGAAAATTTGTAAGATCACAATACCCCATAAATGAAATTTTAATTATCTGTCTGACATTTAAATTGTTAGAATTCTTTTTTTTCTTGTCTGCAGGCTGACAATATGTTAAATGAGAAAAAGCAAAACAATTGCATGAAGTTTTTTTCAGGTACACATTTTGCCGATACGGTTTTAAGTACTTCTTTTCTTCAATTTTCTAAAACCTATGGATTACAAAACCGTATTGCATACTTTATGGAATTTGTATAGTTTGTTGCGGTGAAGAGGGAGGGTGTGTCCTTTTCTGCATGTGATGTGAAAATTGTATACTCCAAACTTTAAAAATGAGAATCACAATGTGGCTTTATTGTGTTGCCGGCAACATATAGGGATCACTCTCTGTCATCTGTCTGTCCGTCCATCACAAAACTTACACTGACTTCTCCTCAGAAACTGGCGCAATTTCATCCATACCTTACAGGAGTGATCAGTACCAAGTTTAGTTGTGCATATCATCAGCATTTTCTTGTTAAACAATTTTAGCCAGAGTTATGGCACTTTAATAATCTTTATTTTTTTAAAGTTTTATCAGGACTACTTCTCTTATACTACTAATGCAAATTAAATGAAACTTTACAGGATTGATCGGTACCTCAAGTACTTGAGCACAGAAAACAAGTTTTCCAGTTGAATGATTTCGGCTGAGTTATGGCCCTTGAATAAAAAAAACATTTTGGCCTGTTAATGACTTTTGTGTCTCCTGCTACACAGTAGCTACAACATGCAATTATCTATCATCAGACGACATGTGATAACTGATCGCTCTTTTTAAATAATATACAAATATGGACTTTTTAGCTGTTGAATATGATGTGATATGTACTGAAAAAATTAATATTGACCGAGGCGATATGATGTGGTATGAACTGAAAAAAATTAATATTGACCGAGGCGATAGCCGAGGTCAATATTAATTTTTCAGTACATATCACATCATATTCAACAGCTAAAAAGTACATATCTGTTTTATTATATAATTTATAAATAGCTTTTATATGGCTTATCACATCTGCTATTGCATATGACGGAAATCATTTTTTTTTACAGCTTGTCTACTTTTTCCATAATTTGGCCCTTTCCATTGGCATGCTAATCCCTATTGTTCTTAAAAATGTAAAACAGTAACTCAAAAAGACTAATTTGACTCTTATGTACACCCCACTCAACGTTTTTTTCAGAATAATAACAACAAACTTGACGTGACATCACGTAATAGTCTCGCGTCTTTTAGGGATTTCCAGAAAATCTATTTTTAGAAGAAAAAACAGTGAAAATACTCTGAAAATCTATTTTTAGGAAAAAAACAGTGAATATACTCTGATATTGACCTGTTATTTATTACAAAAAATTGCTTGTTAGCCAATCAGGGAAAGGCATTTCAAAGCTATTTATAGATTATATAATAATACGTAATATTTAACCCAAATCGTGAAAACCTAGAACAGAATGGTATAAGATAACATAAATGTGTTTTCCTCATGTAAATGAAAATTATTAATGCTGCGTTTTAGAAATGTATTTTATAATCTGTAAAGTTCCAAATTATTTGGGGAAAAAAACACAAGTGGGTTTTTATCTTGTCACTGTAGTAACATTGTCTAAAAATTCTTATGTTCATTGTTGCATTGAATGAAAGATACATGTATTTACAAAATTCAGAAGTTTTGTTAAAATTAAAATTTTCAAAATAAAATAGAAATATAATTATATTAAAAAATTTAAAGAAAAATTATTTTTATTTTTGTGTTATTTCATTATTTAGATGGCTAAACCTGACCTGTGTGGCCAATCAGAAACATCCGAAGATTATTCTGCTATTGAGGGAAGTATGCCATTGTTCCAGCGTCCAATTATGACGCTACCAAGTATATTTGTGACGGCCATTGTAACTAGAAGGGAGAATAAGCATACAACAATTTACCTTGGAACAAGAAATGGGGCTTTACAAAAGGTATGTTAAAAAAACAAACTAGAACTTCCCCTGTGATCGGAGTTTATCCATGAATTATAAAACAACTTGTATTAACTATTACACTGCTGGAAATGAAAGCGATAAGGCTTTGCCACAAGTATAGGTCTAGGCCAGCCTGCACATCTGTACAGTCTGATAGGCTCTTTACTGTTCACTGACTAAATTTCAAATGAGCCGTGTCACAATAAAACCAGCATAATGGGTTTGCGACCATCATGGATCCAGACCAGCCTGCGCATCCGCGCAGTCTGATCAGGATCCATGCTGTTCGCTATCAGTTTCTCTACTTGTAAAAAGGGTTTGTAAGCGAATTTTGTTGATATTTTGTTGAGATGCGGATGCGCAGGCTGGTCTGGATCCATGCTGGTCGCAAACCCATTATGTTGGTTTTGTCATAACACGGCTCAAATGTTTACCTTCATTTCCCCCAAAAATGATGATGGACAGTACCAAAAATGGACAATGAGCATGCCCATTTTAGAAATTCAGCAGCTTAAGTTGTAACCCGAAGGGATGAATTTTCAGTTGACCTTGGAAAACGAAGAATGGGATTTTAAAGAAGACAGATTAAGATTTTTATAATAATTCTGTTATAACAATATCCACAAAATTTCTTTGCTTATGATATTGGATCTATATGAATAAAAAAGCATTTGATTCTGAGCGAAGTGATATTTTGTTGAGAATGTCCTTTATATCTTTATGTCTCAAATGTTTTTCTTTGTACAGTCTCTCTCAAGTAGCAGGAATTTAAACACATTATTTAGACTTTTATGTATCTTATAATATATATATATTTATGAAAGGTGACAGTTGCTGACAATGGTCTAGTTACCATGGTCACCACAGCTGACCTTGATGCTGGTTACGAAGTGATGAGCCCAATGTTTCTCAACCAGGGAGGAAATTATCTTTATGCTATGACAAAATCAAAGGTATACAGTTTATATAATAGTTATACATTGCATACCCATAGTAAAGAAAGTTTACAGTTATAAAAAAATTTAAAATATTTCTTTTGCTGTGCATTTACTAATATTTATAGCTGTATGATGTGTCACATAAAAAAATGCATGCCTGAACCATATCGTTTTTACGGAGTCTCGAAAACAGCACAAGTATAAATAGAAATTGTGTTCCATAAATTAAAATGTATTGACTAACTATTGTGTCAAAGAACCTTAGTCTTGTGTAATGTTTCCTTGTTTTAAAAAAAAGTTTTGATTAGGATGCCCCTATGAATGAGTTGTAAAATTGAATGACTTAAAATCTCTTGCCCCTATTTATATTGAATGTTGGAAAATCAGATATTATGATAATCAGATATTATGATAACTAGTTTCATCATTCGAGGAAGTTTTAAGTATGCAACCAACCTAATGTAAAACAATGTTAAAAAGCAAATGACACATAAAGGAAATTGTGCATAAACCCACTTAAAGTAGCTATGACCTATTTTAAATGACACAAAACATTTAAATCCGCATACTTCTTCATGTCTGAAAACTAGGAAACACACAAATGTACATTTAAATCTTTGAGAAAATCATGTCATAAATGTATGTAAACATTGACTGAACTGTCACAGTTTGAAGTTTTTAATAGTATATTTCACAATGTATGGCATTGCAGGCTTCGTTTAGATATAAATTTGGATTATGTATGAATTTTGATTCCACCCTATCAAATAATAAATGTCCATGTGTCTGGAAGTTTTATAAGCCCACAAGCTTACAAATGGCAGGCATTTATACTATTTTAATCATTCTTTGATCAAGCTTTATAACTGATTCTGACAAAATTTACCCTGTAAAATGTTTTGACATTACAACAATTACTGATGTCAAACTCGGCTTCTGTTCACAAAACTTGCCCAGCTTAAATAAAAGTTGTCATTTATATGCTCAGAGTTTGACATAAATTGCCATTATATAGTTAAGATGGAGAAGTTATTTCAAGATCATGCCAGGCAGCTGGGAGGTTTTTTTTCATTTGAGTTTTTTTGTTTTTGTTTTACTATAGATTTTCTTTACTGCACACTTTTTTCCCCACTTTTTAATAGGAGTTTTATCTATAAAAATTCACTCACATTAAGCTATGATTTAAAAAGTAACCCTGCCCACTGAGTAAGTACAATAGACAAGTATTGCTTTGAATATTTTTGAATTTGTATATTATTATTCAAGGGGCTTTTAAATAACAAAATAACTTGTATTGAGTATGATCCTTGGGTGTGTGACTGTAGATAATGGTCATGGAGTCTAATGGTCATTTATCTCTCACCCAAAAGGGGTTAATGTTGAATCCATGTACACTTCATGGCAAATGGTTTGATTTCCACATACTTTCCTATGCGAAAAGCTATGTTACTTAGATAAGGCTGTTAACAAATTTTGATCTTTGAAATGAGGCATTCTTCTATGTGTATCAAGTTATCACTATATTATATCTTTAAGACAATATATAATTGTTTTTATATATTTATGGAAATACAATTTGATTTTATCCTACAGTTATTGAAGGTTGACATAGACCACTGTTTGGTGAAGACATCTTGCCAGGAATGTACTAGTTTGTTTGACTCAGTTTGTGGCTGGTGTGTTCTACAGAATAGGTAGGTTATAGTGAATTACTGGACTTTATTGGTGGAATTTCCACACAAAACAATTAGTCTACTGATATATATAATTTTCCAATCCTGATGCAAATAAAAAAAAATTGTGGTTAAGTGGTAAACAATTTTTTTTACTTCAAAAAACCTTATTGCTGTGGCATGGAATCCTAGTCTGGGACTTAAGATTATTTCATGTAAGGAAACTGTCCAGGTAGGTTAGGAAAATTTGGTTGTTGTACTTGGGTGCAGGCTTGTGCCTGAAATTTTTGCACTGGAAAGCACCTGATGTTATCTTCCACTAGTAAAGCTTGAATATCATATGACATTTACAGTGTCATGGTTGTTAAGGTGACATTAAACCGAACCAAAACAAAAAAGTTTATTTTTAAGAAAACATGTTTGGTCTGTACTCTTAACATTGTTACAGTCCAGCAACAGGCTTAAGAGAGACATGCTTAACTGATACATGATACTATGTAGAAACAAATCTTTTCATAATAGTTTTATTCGCTCCATTAATATTGGCTATTTTAACAACATTAGAGAGGTTTTTTTGTTTTTTTTTTTAGCTCACCTGTCACAAAGTGACAGGGTGAGCTTTTGTGATCGCTTTTCGTCCGGCGTCCGTCCGTAAACTTTCACTTTGAATGACATCTCCTCATAAACCACTAAGCCAATTTCATCCAAACTTCACAGGAATGTTCCTTTGGTGGTCACCTTTAAAAATTGTTCAAAGAATTTAATTTCATGCATAACTCTGGTTGCCATGGCAACCGAAAGAAAAAACTTTAAATATCTTCTTTTAAAAAACCCAAAGAGCTAGAGCTTAGATATTTGGCATGAAACATCTTCTAGTAAGTGTGTACCAAGTTTGTTCAAATAAAAGCCCTGGGGTCAAAATTGGCCCCGCCCCAGGGGGTCATTGATTTTCCCTATATGCATATAGTAAAAACTTAAAAAAATGTTCTTTTAAAGAACTCAAAGAGCTAGAGCTAAGATATTTAGCATGAAACATGTTCTATTGGGTGTCTACCAAGTTTGTTCAAATAAAAGCCCTAGGGTCAAAATTGGCCCCACCCCAGGGGGTAATTGATTTTCCCTATATGCATATAGTAAAAACTTAAAAATTCTTCTGTTAAAGAACCCAAAGAGCTAAAGCTAAGATTTTTAGCATGAAACATCTTCTAATGAATGTCTTCCAAGTTTGTTCAAATAAAAGCCCTAGGGTCAAAATTGGCCCCGCCCCAGGGGGTCATTGATTTTCCCTATATGCATATAGTAATAATTTAAAAATCTTCTTTTAAAGAACTCAAAGAGCTAGAGCTAAGATATTTAGCATGAAACATGTTCTTATGGGTGTCTACCAAGTTTGTTCAAATAAAAGCCCTGGGGTCAAAATTGGCCCTGCCCCGAGGGTCATTGATTTTCCTGATATTTGTAAAGCGAAAACTTAAAAAATCTTCTTTGAAAAAACCCAAATAGCTAGAGTTTAGATATTAAGCATGAAACATCTTCTAGTGAGTGTCTACAAAGTTTGTTCAAATAAAAGCCCTAGGGTCAAAACTGGCTACCCCCCATGGGTGTCATTGTTTTTAACTATATGTGTATAGTAAAAACTTAAAAAATCTTCTTTTAAAAAAACGAATGAGCTAGAGCTTAGATGTTTAGCATGAAACATCTTCTTATGGGTGTCTACCAAGTTGTTCAAATAAAAGCCCTTGGGTTAAAATTTGCCTTGCGGGGGGGGGGGTCATTGTTTTTCATTTTATGTGTGTAGTAAAAACTTAACATCATGAAACATCTTCTAATGGGTGTCTTCCAAGTTTGTTCAAATAAAATCCCTGGGGTTTAAACTGGCCCCGCTTCGGGGGGGGGGGCCTATATACAGGTGAGCGACTTCAGGGCCATCATGGCCCTCTTGTTTGTTTTGTTATTTTTTAATAAACCAAATGTTTAAAAAAGCAACACAACAATATATTCCTTTGTTGTAAACATGTTATTCAATATTGATAAAAGATTCCTGGCCTTGTATTACTAGCAAGTAAAGAACTGATACCTTCATTTAATTGATTTCAAAGTATTTATCTTTCCCATAAAAAATGCAGTGGGAGAAAAATACGAAACAAGAAAGCTTTGTTGAAGGAATTGTTTGATAACTTTGTATTTCTAAGACAGCAAACATGTAATAGAAATAATGAATAGATTTTTATGAGATATCAGCCTTATACCTCTCTGTGGTGAAAGTTTATAACCATGCAAGTCTTTATGCTTTTTCATTACAATGCTTTGAAATTTACTTTTGAGTATTTACAATACATGTACAGACATTTTGGAGAGATTATCAAATACATTCCAAACAGTTACTGAACACTTTGAAGGAATTTTGAAACAAACTAGGCCCTTATGTGTTTGTTTTGTTTAGTTTTTTGTTTCGAAACGTATAAAAGAGAAATGGTTTATTAAAAGAAACTATAAAGAAAAATTAAGAATATGGAAAAAAGGGCGATGGGGAATAAAATATTGTGTGAAATTTATTTCAGAAGATTTTATGCTTTAAGGCCAAGATTATTGTAAAATGTAAAAATAAAATGTAAATTTTGTTGTCAATTCTTTTAAAAAATAACAAAAATAACATGATAAAGCATGGGGAAAAAAAACAACCAGAAAAAGTTTCAATGAAATGATGAAAGATTATTTTTTCATAAAACAAAAAAAGGGAAACACCAACAAGGGTGGAGGGTACTGTAAAATCATTATTATTTGTGGGGCACGAATTTTCGTGGTTTTCGTGGGTAGGTCAATCCACGAATTTAAGATCCGAGGAAATTTTATCCCAACAATTACTTCTAACCATGTCTCTATTCTATACATATGTAGCCACTTTTCGGGTTGATTATTGTGTTATGATGGTTTACAGATAATCAGGTTAGTGACAGATTAAATCTATAAATAGTTCATGTTTGAAATATTTAAGAAACTTGAAAGCAAAGTCAATTATGTGTCCTGAATTTTGGTCGTAAATACACATCACTGAGACTGCTTAATTGTTGTAGGCTACTTGATAGTCTTTTCCAGAATCCAGTAAAAATGCGAAACCAGTGCAATAATTAGCGCTAATATTAATTGTCAGTTTTCTCTGATTAATTGTTAATAGAATTAAAGAAATCTTTGATATTAATGTCATAAGTTAAGTACACAAATCAATCATAAACAATCACTAAAACGGATGAATTGTACATCCTTTTGTCGTCTTTAAATGATCCAGTTTAAATGAATTTTAATCTGTATTTGTGCAACTGCTATTAGTGCTGCAAATCAGCCTATTTTACTAGCCCTTCTAGAGGGGTAAGTGGTCTATGTTAGCCAACAGCAAGTTTCATACACCAAACTGTTCATCTGGATCTGTTGTTTCTGGGATGGATATACATTTGACCCAACCTCGATGCGAAGCTGAGATATCCAAGATGGCGTCCAAGATGGCCACTTAATCCCTAAATATTCTAGTATATTTATGTTTGCTAATTTCTTTTCTCAGTTTTGTAAATCAATTGAAATTTAACATGAAATTATTTATTTTTAACTCACTCATGCTATAAATTCTGACTTTATTGCATTTTTTGCTAGTTTTCATCATCTTATTTTAATGAAAAGAGAAAAAATATGTTGCAAACTGGGCCACCTTCTCTTAATATGTGTAAATTATTATTCTACTTTTATTTAAACTGAATATCATTCATGATTTCATTTAATACAGTTTTAAAAATGTATCTACACATCTTTAGAATAAGTAAACTCTGCCATAAATGTATTTTATTGATCTTAACACAAATACAAAGTGGGTGGGGTATTACGAACAGCGGTCAACTGTAAATTAGATATGCTTTTCTCTCGTCGATTCGTGACTCTTATTTGGAAAAATTGCACTTGCACAACAAATATCAGACATACATACAGTTCAATTAGTGCATTTGTTAAATAAATTCATTATCTAAAAGTTTAAAAACTTTAAATTACTTCTAAAAACAATCGCTCAAAGATTAGAGCAACAGAACATGTCAACCATGACTGTCTTGCTCAGCTGGACGCTTACCCATCGATACGTGAAATCCGATTCACCCTGTGACGTCATCAAAATATAGGTGCTCACACCACTAAATGTTCGCATGGTTATTTTCAGCCCGATCTGATCAATTTATGTTTCAAAGTCTTAAGTAAATTCTTACAGCATAATGAATATTTTTTTGGCTTAAATGTAAGTGTGTTTGATAAATTAAAACATCAATATCGAATATTTCAAAGTAATTAGGTCACCAGCTGATTGTAGGGTAAGGTCATTTACACCTGTTCAATTACGCATTTTGATTGGATAGAATTGTCAAATCTAGTGTCTAATAAAACTTGTATAGTTTTCGGATGGTGTATGTCCTTGCAGAAGTATTTATACAAACAATTATTTAGGTCACGAATCGATGAGAAGGCACGAATCGATGAGAATAAGGCATACTTCTTTGTTTTATATTAAAATGAAAAGTTATATTAAAAAGATTAACAATATTTTGAATTGGTAAGCGATGAAACATCATTTTGTAATAAACAATCCCTTGCGTGTGTTTTTTAAAATGTTGAAATATATCTTTTAATTTCTTTATGCACATAATACAGAACTAATTTACTGACCTGCAATTTGATATTTGCGTTGACCTTGTGTTAGCCCTTGGTTAAGGATTTGTTTTGCAAGTTTGTTTCTCCTTAGCCATAAACATTCATTGTCAGATTTCAAATGTGATTTTTGATTCACTGTTCAAGACCCATAACCTAAGCATTGTTTAGAAAATAATTATATTCCGCTATAAATTTCAATAATTTCTCAGGACAAGATTTATGTACACAACCATTGAGGTAATCCACTGGAAACTAAATACATCTTTGAGATCATTATTGTAGGTTACTTCCCTGTAACATGCTTTTATTTCAAAGAGTTATACTACTTTATGAATAACAGAATTTTTTTATTATGCAGGCTGTTGATTTTGAATATTTGAGCGAGCTATTCCATATGCAGCTCTTGTTTTAATGCAATTGAACCATAATTTGGAGTTTTGCCATTATTGATGACGGATATAAATATACATTAAAATTGCTAGAACATTTGAAATGGGCAGGTAATTCATTTTTACAATAAGAGACTTTGCTAAGGGACTGGATCTAAGTTATGAATAAAATAGTATATTTGTAGTTAGTGAATTAAAAATTTAATATTATGAGGGCAGTTTCATTTTAGCTCGACTATTCGACGATTAAGGAGAACAATACTAGTTTCTCGAGCGTCGGTGTCAGCTTAACCTGTCTGGATCACAGCAGTTAGCCACATTTAATTTACCAGAGCAGAGTTCAGC